CGATCCCAATACGAAGTTCGCGAACATCAGGGATATCCATCGGGCTCAAATCGAAGCGGGTGAAAAGGAGGTTATCACGGCTGAATCCAGCGACTCTGAATGCCCTAGTGAGGCTGGCAGCTGTATTGTAGTGGGTGTGGTTGAGGATCAATAGTTAATAGTAATGAGGAGGTTGGGTTGTGATCCCATCGTTTTTGTGGTGCCAGAAACAGGGGGGTGCCAGGAAGTGGGTATGTTGACTTATGCCGACAACACCACCCCCGGGCTGTACCACCTCCTGCTGGATGACTACACTCAATATGTGCCATTCCAGACCAGCAATATTCAGTCGCCTAATTGGCAGGCTGGTAGCACTTCTGGCTTCCCTTCTGGACTGAAGCATGGATCGGTTACGCCCCTCACTCAGACTGAGTGGAACGCGCTGAACTCGAGGTTCCCTGCTTGAAAAAGTCCATGAAATATCTATGCACAAGCATGCATCTTTTCTGTACATATTCTACATCATGAGCTAAATGAAAGCGATCCTCTGATATTGAAGCCTCATATTGCTGGACCTGTGCCCTTCATTGCAACCCTGGATCATCAGTGTCCCGATAATGCCACTTCCGTACACTATCAAAGTTGGCTATCAAGGAGACAACGTTGGGGTAATTGGCTGATATGATCAGCTTATTTTCATACGCTTGGTGAGGTTCCGGAATTGGAAAAGGCCTTGCCAAAGACATCTAGCACCCGCTTGTCATTAAGTCAAGACGCGTCAGTCGATGTGGCGTCCCTTGAGCGACCGAGCTATTGTGACAGATCCTTTGAAGCTGCGGCCTCGATCGAAGTTCAGTAACATCTTCACTTGAGGCGTAGAGAAACGCCTGGCGAGACCGGTAGATCATCTTACTAGTAATGCTCCAGCTCAGTAATCTTCAATACATTCAAGCTATCACGTTCGTGTTCCGGCAAAACGGTGCCGACAAGTACATTTGCGACCTGCAGCTCTTGCTGTGACCCATCACCTGTATCGATTGCGAAACTGTCTTAAAACCAACTGTTCTAGCCCGAAAGATTACTAGCAAAGAACACAAACATGAGAGCTCCGAATGCTTTAAGACTCATGATTCAGTAGGTCTGCACGGCAACATGGAAGGTTTGCCACGGTGGAAGATTTGCACGTGAAAGAATCAATACAGGTGGCTTGAAGGCTCCCTGCCTCAGGCTTTTCCAGCCTGGAGGTTGTCTTCTTGCAGCGGATAGTACCGCGAGTGCGTGCAGGACACACGAGCTGATTAGCAGTGAATCGTATCCAGTTTACCGGAAACGCAGATCCTCTACAACACTCGACTAATGCCTGTAGCACTCGCCGAAAGAGCTCGGGGAAGTGCGCCGGTGGCTTTGTGCTCCCTCGTTTCCAGTCCCAACGAAAAGCCCGAAACAGCAGGCCATAGATCAGCCAAATTCTTCAATGGGAGCAAAAGTGTGGCGTTTGATGTCTATAGCCGCCTCTAATAGGTCGCCTGAATCCGCCATGCAAGCCTACGGCATCAATGGCTAACTGTTCACCCACACACATTGGCCCCGATTTGTGGTCGCAAGGAGTCGGCTCTGGGCCTGTGGGTTTTAAGGATCCCAGCCGTCTGCGTTGTGGCGGCTGAAGAACATCGTGGCGTGACCGCATGCGGTGATGATACTTGAGATGTTGTTTCCTCGGTAGTTCAGGATCGCCGGACATGGCAAGCTTTCATTGTTAGTGTCTACCTTTAGGCGTTCCATGAATCTCTCTACATTCCATTGTCTTTAACGTGCGAGATACCGGGCCATGTGTCCCGTGGCACCCTGGCATTTAGTTTCCAGTTTCCGCAACGACTTGACGAATTGATCCAGTGTTTCGTGTTCAATGTCGACCTCGAAAGCCATCCGAGTTCAAAGTTCTGGAAAACCACGTCTATTCGAAGGCCGTCCGTTACAGAAGCTCCATCGATAGGGACGGGAGAATTGACAAGAAGTCGCCATGCACAATGAAAGCTTCACACGAGGGGATCCAACCCCGCCATACACGGACGCCACAAGAGCTCCATTGCTCATTGGCATGACTGCAGGGTTTCTCGGAATTGCATTGATTTTTGTCGCCCTACGTGTCTATGTGAGGGCCGTGGTGTTGAAGAAATGGGGTTTGGACGACACTCTCCTCGTCGTCTCATACGTAAGCACTTGCGTCCTATCAGACTCTGAATTCCAGAGTATTGGAAAAGCCAGACGCTAATTAAGCTGTACTAGGCTTTGACAGTACTCACTGGTCTTGTCTTTTCGATATGTGAGTTTCTTGAATCCATGGCAACACGAGGGAGAAGACTTTGACTAACGATTGGAAAGGCACCATATTTGGGCTTGGGATGCATGTCTGGACAGTTCCCATTGAAGTACAGCAGAATGGTCGCAGGGTGAGTTGGTTCTTGTAGATTGTGAATATGAATTTAGGAATCTGCCATGCTAACACCTGCTACAGGCAACGATCGCTGCAACTTTATCATACCACATTACCTTCATTTTCGTGAAGATAGCTTTACTCCTTTTGTACCGACGAGTATTTGCTCATCCCACGTTTTGTCTTGTTTGCGACGTAATGCTAGGCTTTATTGCGGTGTTTGGTATTGCCGTAGTGGTGTCATCCGTCGTTATCAGCGCACCAGGTTGGAGAGGCGACACTTTCGAGTTTGAGCGTTACGACCAGGGGGCGTGGTGGATGGCAACAGCTGCAGTTCACTTGGTGACCGACATGATCATATTCTTCATGCCGATTCCGCTTTTGAGCAGCTTGAATTTGAAACGAGCTCAAAAGGCTGCGCTGATTGTTACATTTGGCGTTGGATTCATGTGAGTTTGTCATTAATGTTCCGGTGAAGCATTGCTCTTACTGATTCTTTGATTTCAGCACGACGGCCATCTCTGTTGTCAGGATGTCTACTCTTACTCATGTATTCACAGCTGATGTAACGTGGGATGTGATTCCATCCCTGATCTGGTCCGAGGTTGAGCTCTGCTGCGCCGTGATTTGCGCTTGCATACCGACACTTCGGCCTCTGCTTCGGTCTCCGAGATCTACTTGCTCGCAATATTACAACCGACAACGATCTGAAGCAAGCGCTGAGGCGAAACTATCTCACAAGCGGATCAATGGGGGAACATTCGGGAGCCACAGTCAGCAAAGCATCCAAAATACAACGGCGATGGATCTTGATGTTGACATGGAGAAGGGCTTTGAGGCGAACATGGAGCCGGAAATGCCACCAGAAGCGCCCTACAACCAGAAGGGGAACATTCATGGGTTGACTATTGTGACAGACATCACTCCAGCGATGCCGGCTGGAGAGTCGGATGATGGATCTGACGTGTTTGGGCCGCTAGATGAAGAGCTCGTCACACCATTGAGCCCGCCTCCGAGGTCTTATACCAGCCCTGCAAGGCTTCTTCCTCAGTCCCGGCCGTTATCAGGATCATCCAACGAGCAGCGAGGAGAGTGGCGCTAATGATGGAGAGAATAGGGGGGCCGGTTTGCTTAGCAAGGCGTTGGGGATCATTAGATTAAAGCAGTAATACCAGGGTAGCAGAACAGAGCCAGAGCAACAAGTCTTTGAAAAGTGATGCAGTAGCAACTTGTGAATAACATCAAATTGAGGGACACAGGTTACAATGGAAGAAGAAGGAATGGTGATAGGTGGCAGGCATCAGGGTTCCTTCCATAGGTATTGTTTCCAGAATGAGAAGGGCAAGTCCGAGGTGGACACGGTGGGCCAAGTGGACCCTGAAGAAAGCTACCGAGTCAGGAACATGTGGCCTCGGCGCACCTGCGTTTTTCGGGGTCTCGGTTCCGGGCGGGCCGCTAGACCTGATAAGTTGATCTGCACGTGCTGCGCTAAACCTCCGATAGAAGGCGGTGGACAGTCCGAGGCATTGGAGGCCTTAGATAAGCCGGCAAAATGGCAAGTGTCGCCCGCCCGCACGTCCCCGCCATCGCCGTCTCCGACAGGACACCGAAGTCGATAACTTTCCGCCCTATTCCACTCCTCCCGCCCGTACGCCTGTCCCTCTGCCACATTGGCTCTTGACGACACTCTTCATCTCCCTGGTATTCCACAATCGCCGATCTAAGCAGTCTCGAAGCCATCCGCACAATGTCAAACGGGAACGGCGAGCACACTGCCGCGGCTGCCAACGGTTACCCCGCCAAACCCCACTCATCCGAGTCGTCCCCGCGGAGTTTCCAGGAAGTGTGCCAAGAGCTGAAGGATAAGGTCGACGCTTTCTTAGCGGATGACCAGAAGACGGATGTTCTGCGCAATGTTCAAAAGCAGCTGCGCGCGTCAATGGGGGTCGTTGACGAGGCGTTGGCAAGATACAGGTGCGTGATGCGTGACACGCCATGTCAGCTCTTATCTTGTGTCCGCATGGGTTGCTAATGTGCCGAGGCAGCCTGGAACAGATTTCAATCTCCTACAATGGAGGAAAAGACTGTACGTGCTCACATCTTGCATTCTCGACATGTTCCCTGCGACGTTGCGAATCTTTCGGATCGAGACATGACACCGCATTTACTGTCGCATACCGTCATTTGTCCTAGCCTGGCGTATGATGCTGACATACCACTTTGACAGGCCTCGTACTCCTGATCATACTCCTCGCCGCCCTAGCACGTCGATACCCTTCTCTTCCGAAAGCCTCCCAAACGAACGGGTCGAACGGCACGACTTCCTTCCCTCCTGAATTTCAGGCAGTGTACATCGTATCGAAGCACCCATTCGCCGAAGTTGACGATTTTGTCGAAACCACCAGCGCCGAATACCATTTAGACGTAAAACGATATGCCATGTCAATGAAAGATGGACTCGAGGCATACCTAGCAGACAGACCAACCGTAAAAGCCATTTTCGTAGGGACGAGGAGGACAGACCCCCACGGCGAGAAGTTGACAGATTTTGACCCCACGGACTCCGGGTGGCCTGCCTTTATGCGGGTGCATCCTGTGATCGACTGGCATTATGGTTCGTTACCACCCCTGTCATGTTGTTGTATAATTGCTTGCTGACACTTCTACGCAGCCGAAATTTGGGCAGTGAGTTGACACATTATGCCGGGCCTTTGCTACAGTGGCGTTATGGGCCTTAATTATTACTGTTATAAGGATACTGACCGAACTCTAGTTCATCCGACATTTAGAAATACCATACTGTCCTCTATATGATCAGGTAAGATGATTGGTTCAGAGAACCCAACATTGGGTGACTGACATCTTCAAGGGCTACACGAGTTTAGGCGGAACGCAAGATACCCATCCCAACCCTCAGCTGAAGACTGAAGGACAGAACGGTGCGGGCTTCCGACCTGCGTACGAGCTTACGGAAGACGATGAAGAGAGATTAGGTCGCGATAGATGAAGAGAAACCCAACGACTTGTCGATATTGATTTACCGGATTCAAGAGAGTTGAATTGAAATCCAGAGTAGCGCATAATCATCATGGAGGAGCCTTTTGTATAGAGAGCGCATAGACTTGCCGCATCGCCACCAATCTACATTGATTCATCTTCAGCTCGCTGCGATGTTCGCACGAATCACAGCTGCCTTGTGGTGTCGGTGGGGGCTAGAAGCCAAAAGCTGACGGAGACAGGTTCTGATGCATTCAGTTTTGGACCATCTACGGTCTGTCCCACGACAGATCTTTGCGACATGAGAGCTGACGAGAGAATACGAATTTGGCCCTCGAAGGCTTTCGTTTCCCTCATCTTCGCTTGGTGCTATGACGACGTCGGAATCGAGGATCCGCCACAACGTTCACATCGCTGGTTGTATCCGCTCAAGAGGCAGTCGATGTGTGGCTTTCTAGATCCCCGGAATTACCAATATGTTATCATCTGCTTAGCTATCAACTACCATGCCCAAGAAAAGTGCCGATTTCTCCATCCCCATCCATGATCGGCTGTCTGTCACCGGTCCCCGCAATGTCACCAAGCCCCGCGCGGCAATGTGGACCTTATCGACATATTACTGGTGCCTTATCATCGGAAGCCTGGCCCTCGTCATCAGAATATCGGGTAAATGGCTCGAGTCACATCAGTACGAACGCTGTCTGCTATAAGACGTCAGTGAGCCAAGGCGAGGTGCTTTTGAGAGGGCACGGGCACTAGTGTCAACCTACAGGACTTGGAAGCACGCTTTGACTGGGCTTGCAGTGTATGCTCCGCTGTTAGTCTCATGACCGGCGCTTGGCCATCATCATGATGCACTCTGGAGTTGGCTTTCCGGCAGCTCTGTCGATTATCCTTCTGCTCGCTCATGATGTTTCTGCAGGACCAACGGTGAATGTGTTGAACGGCTCCTATGAGGGCTTGTCTCTTCCCGGCTATCAGCAGGATGCTTTCCTTGGCGTTCCATATGCACAACCTCCTACTGGCAACCTCCGCTTTAAGGCACCTCAAAGCATCGACTCAACGTGGAATGGCACTCGCCCTGCGACAGAGTATGGAGACATTTGCATGCAATACACCGTGAGCGCAGACCTGTCTGTCAACCTCTCGGCTTGAGTCATTGGTACTAACCAAACCTCTAGGCTCCTCCTAGCTACCCAATGTCTGAAGACTGTCTGTCACTCAACGTCATCCGCCCGAGCAGCCTCGACAGTACCGGACTCCTTCCTGTCGCTGTGTGGATTCATGGGTGAGTTCAATAATATCCCACAACAATCTTGCCTGAACAATGATGAACTAATTTGCCACCGTAGCGGCGGCCTATACGCAGGTTCGTCCAGAGACAACAACCTCACAAACTTTGTAGACCAGGCCTCTGCAGCACAGAAGCCTCTCATAGCCGTTTCCATCAATTACAGACTTTCGGCGTTTGGGTTCCTCTGGGGGTCTGACGAGGTGAAAGCCAACGGCAGCGCCAACAACGGTCTGCGGGACCAGCGCCTGGCCCTCCACTGGGTCCAAGAAAACATTGCCTTCTTCGGCGGCGACCCGCGCCGTGTTACAATTTTTGGTCAGAGCGCCGGAGGCTTGTCTGTCGGCAAACAACTCATTGCCTACGGAGGCAGAGATGACGGCCTGTTCCAAGGCGCGATCATGCAGAGCGGCGGCATGGCCGAGAAGTGGCCCTATAACGTGAAGGACCCAGCTGCCTACACCCGAGATCTCTACCGGAATCTGACAGAAACGACTTCTTGCTCCGAAGCAGCCAGTCCGCTCGAATGTCTACGCAACTTGCCTGTGGGGGTCATTTCCGCCGCCCTGAACGTGAGCGCCACGCCGGTGTTCTCGGGCACAGGTCTTGGTCCTTGGCTGACTCAGGTCGATGGCGATTTCCTCCAAGACGGGCCAATTGCGTCTCTCAAAAAGGGCCATTTCGTCCATGTGCCAATCATGTACTCCACCACCACCGACGAGGCAACCGTCTTTATGTTTGGTGGAAAGTTGGACACGGATGACGACTTTAGGGCTCTGGTCGCAGCAGGGGGTCCAGATGGCTCAACTGTCTCTGCTATTGAGCGACTGTATCCTAACGCCAACGGTACCGGGCTTCCGGCCGGGTACAGTCCGACTGCTGAAGATAATCAGCTATACGGATCTCAGTGGAAACGCGGAGTCGAGTTCCATACTGATGTCGTTGAGACTACTTCCAGGCGTATGACGCTGAAGGCCTGGGCCGCTGCTGACGCGGAAGCCTATTCAGCTCGCGTCAACCTGTTGCCTCCAAGCACCACTCCTCGCCTGGGATCTCACCATTCCATGGATATCTCTTTCATATTCGACGCTCTTGACGAAGAAACCCTTGGCGAGTTACAGTTTGCGACGGCATCGAAGCTCATGGGTAGGACATGGGCGTCTTTCGTATCGGATCTCAACCCGAATAATCATGGAGGTATACTAGGCTTCTTCCTCACTTGCAAACCCTGATCATCTGCTAACGCGATTCATTTCAGTCCCCGATACCCCTATGTGGCCGGCGTGGACTGCCGAGAAGTCGAACAAGACCGGCTCCAATTTCGTTTTCAACGCTAATAGCAATCCATGGTCTATGTCATTCATCGAACTGGATGATTATCGTCTACGGCAGACAAAGTATTTGGCAAGTGTCATGCAGAGTCAAATGTATTACTAGAAAAGAGAGCGGTAGTGGTAATTGGCCATCATTAGCTGGAAGATCCAAAAACATGTGATAGATTTAATCACAAGGTAATGTGATAATATCTGGTTCCCGAATCATACTCTAGAAGAACCTCTGCTTCCATCTGTTCCACATCTACCACTACCTGACGCCACATACTCAGCTCATATGATTCAGCCATGAAGCCAGGGAGGACCATTGCGCAGAGATACTTGGTTCCCCTCGTCGAAGTAAAGCCTGACCTGTTGACCAAGTCACCAGTCAGATCCCTCACAGTTGGTCCGACAGCCAATTGAGGACATAGAATGACAAGCATGTTCAGCCCAGGAAGGCCCATGGGAAACGTCGAAGGTGGACTCCAGCGCACTACCATTCCAGGTCGTATGCGCTCTTTGAAAGGGACGTCATTTGCCTTGGCATCCGGGTCTACGCTAGAGGACAGCATTTCCTGGTTCATGGCTGTCTTACGGCCCTTCCCCTTGGCAGGCTCCGCTTCGCTCTTGCTTTCCGTCTTCTTCTCGCCCGACTTTTGCGAATCGATATGCAAACGCCAGAATTTGGCGTGAAAGGCGCGAGCTTGATCTTCATCGACTCCTGGACTCTTCAAACAGCGGGCGAGGAATTCGGGCGCGGGGAGGCGGAGGAGCAGCGAACCAGTCTCGGTGGGCGCGACGAGCTCGCCAGAAATGGCAGGGTTTCCAGACTGCAACATGTCAGCTTCTTTTGGTGGTCGGTCTCGAGAATGAACTCACGTTGGCATCGATCCAGGTCTTTAACCGTTCATTGTCCCAAGTCGCAGGCGTCTCGGGGTCATAGGACTGAGCCTTGGCCTTGGGTAGCAACACCCGCAACATCTCGGCATATTTCAAGGTGTTTTTGCCAGCGCCAGCATCTGGAAGACTGGGATTGACACAGGCAAGCACGACAGTCTTGCAGCTACGTCTCCCCACGGGATCAAAAACGTGCTTCAGAATCTTGGTGAGGGAACTCTGCCGGAATGGAATATACGTCGGGCTCTTTGTCTTGCCCATCAGAGAAGCCACATCGATGGTTGCTCTGCCCCTGATACAGTCCTTCAGCACCGAGAGGCTGGTGTTGATCTCCCGGGCCTCTTTCATGCGATCGGGCGTGTGGTTGGCAATGTCCCGGGCGGCTTCTGAGCCTGCCAGGTCGATAAGGTAGAGGAGTCCGTCTTCGGCTGTCGGTATGGGACTTTCGATACGGATGCGACAAATGGCGTGAGAGCGAGATGATGCGTCATTCTTGAACGTTGACGCCGTGCGGCGGAAGGTTGCTGCCTTTTCTATGAGCTCAAGCAGGGCAGGTGCTTCGGTGATTTCGTGTTCCAGGGCACCGGCAAGCTGTGTGACACCGAAAGAATCTTCCAAAACGGAGATTGGTTTCCGAGAGTTCAGGAGGTCTAGAGCATCATATTAGGCGAAATAAGTAAAGGGAGATGTAATTCGACATACCAAAAGAAGAGTTGCCAGCCAGCTCAATGATGCACGCATACACTTTCCGCTCTCCCTCCAAACCGCCGCTCATGAGAGACTTTGCGACCAGCTGCTCAATCTCGCTGACTGTGAAGGTTTTGCCAGAGCCAGTCTGGCCATAGGCGAACACGGTGCTGACGCCGCCGCTCCATGCCCAAGGAACCAAAGGCTCAACCAGATCTCGGTAAATCTGCTCAGATGTATCATCTGGGCCATAGGCTTTATCGAGCTGTACTGAAGTTGTCTGTCGAAACGTGGTCAATTTAGATCACGATGTCTGAAGCTGTGGGGAGCAAGTCGTTGCTTACCGTAAGCGTGGGAGGTCCCAGGGGCTTGATGTGCTTTCGGATTTGGTGGATATCTACAGCGCCGTTGTTGTTGGGCCTCGAGAAGACGCCACGGATAAGGCCTGCGGACACTTCATCCTCCAAAATTGGCCGAAGTCGAGCTGCCACGATCATGTCCGGGTTCGAGGTGGTGTTCGGATCCTGTGCACCGGCTAAGTCTTTCTTGGCTACTTTGGCGCTGAAGGCCTCAACGGAGGCCTGGTACCAGGACGTATGTTTGATGTGATATTCATCCATGACGATTAATGTGCAGCGTCAATCGTGTACTGTAAAATAAGAAGAATTCCTAATGGAACTCTCTGGATTTAGGATATTTCACATTGTATTTGAGACTTTCGACTGGGACTTATATCTCGTGAAGTTCAGTCTCCTTCACTCGTCGTTAAAATGTTCGCATCTCGTCTCAGTGGGTCTTCTGTGCTGGTGTGCTAAATCC